TTATGCTTTGAGTATGAAGTCCGTTCTATGATGATTTGCTTGTTTTCTTGACTATCTGATATTTTCAAGAGCCCAGTCCAACACCAAAGTTCAAAAGCATCAATATTCTTTCTATCCTGCTTCTTCAAAGTCCAACTTTCTCATCTATAATATGTCAGAGAAAACTACTATCAGCATGATTCTGTCTCTATATGAATATCTTTTTCAAGGTCTTCAATTCTATGAAGTCCTATTCTGTGGCATATTTCATGACTGCTGATTCCTTTATGGTTGTTAGTCAATCCTAAGGCAGAAGCCATCCATCACTTCAATATTTTCAGTTCTAAGCCTGGGTGCCATACCTGTTCGGTTGCTTTTATATTTAATCTTAGTCCTCTTTTTTTTCACCGTGCTCCTTGACTTTAAAAACTACAGCTTGCATGTCATTTACATTTTCAGCTATTGGGAGTGTCCTCGGCATAGGCCAGGTTATTGATGTTTCTTCCTCCAGTTTTAAAAACATGCTCATTTTCCAGCGCAGCCTCCCTCCATATATATTCAGCATGTAGGTTAAATAAATAAGGAGAGGGTATTTATTTATTTATTTCAATTTCAAAGCCTCCTGACTCAATGACTGGCAGCTTAAAAGAAAACAACATATATCCCCCCTCCTCCCAAATAAATGGACAGGAAGACCGAATATCACCAAAACAAAAAACAAGAACAAGTACTCGGCAACCATCCTACCCCAAAGCCTGGGAGAAACATTTACAAAAAGTCATTAAGATGGGAGCAGTGCAGATCTCTGGGGAAATATCATTCCAGAGGCAGGCATCCCCACTGAGAAGGCATGCTTCCTGGACCCTGCAAGATGACATTGCTTGATCAACGGGACCCAAAACATGCCTACTTTGCCTGACTTAACTGGGTGGGCAAAAACATTAGGAAACAAGTGGTCCCTCAAGAAGCCAGGCACTATGTCATGAAGGGCTTTATAGATGCTAACAAGCACTTTAAATTGCACCCAGAAGCCAACTGCTAAACAGTGCAGCTTGCAAAGCAGTGGGAATATGTCAGCATACCATGACATTCCCATCACTGCCCGTGCTACCACATTCTGGACCAGTTGTAGGTTCTGGGTGATCTTCAAGGGTAGCTCCATGTAGAGCACATTACAGTAATCCAATCGTGAGGTGGCTGAGACACGAGTGATTGTCTGAAGAGTCTCCCAGACAGGAATGAGTGCAACTGGTACACCAGATGAATATGTTCAAAAGCCTTCTTGCCCACAGCTACCACCTGCTCTTCAAGCAGGAGCTGTGAGTCTAAGAAGAACCCCAGATTGGGCACAAATCTCACATGGGGAAGTACAACCTATTGAAGACATAGCTGGGAGACCAAACTAACAGAGCTGCTCAATTTTGTCAGGCTACAGGCTACAGACTGAGCCTGTATCTGTTAATACCACCCAGATCTGCACAGCCTCCAGACACTGAGCCAGGACTTCAATAGCATCACTTAGTTGGCCTGGGGTCAAGATGTATAATTGGGCACCATCAGCATATTGATACTTGATCCAGAACTGACAGATGACTTCATCCAACAGTTTCATATGGATGTTAACCAAGATTATAAATCCTTGTCTCAACCCTTTGCCAACCTGAGTCAGTCTGTTTCACCATGTTTGCCATGTTCCATCTGGATGGTGGCTTTTTGTCCTATATATACATTTCTCATGAGGACAAGAAGACGTTCTAGGATTCCCATTTTTCTAAGCACATTCCACAGCTTGATATGGATGACACAATTAAAGGCCTCTTTATAATAAATGAAGCACATGCTGATTTCTTTTTGGTATTCTTTGGCTTTTTCAATTGCCCAGCATGTATCATAAATAATGTCTCTTATTCCTCAGCTTTTCTAAAGCCAGCTTGAATATGTGGCATCTCCATTTCCATGTAGGGCTCTAATCTCCATTGAATGATCCTGAGCATTATTTTACTAATATGTGAAATTAAGGATATTGATAGTTTGTACACTCTGTTAAATTTCCTTTCTTTGGTATTGATATGTAGGCTGACCTACAAACTACAGACTACAGGTAATGACCACAGCACTGATCTAATTTCACCTTCTAGTACTGGAGGTTCTTGTAAATAGGGAATATCTTCTAAGCTATCTTGAATGTTGACAACTCTATGTACAGAATTTCAGTATACTCCTTTCATCTTTAGAATTATTGATCTTTCTTGAATCAGTTCCTTTCTATCCATTGGCATCCTTTAATGAACCAATTTGAGATTGGAGCATCCTTCTGAGTTTGGAGATCTTTTGGAAGACTTTCCCCATTTTTCCATGTCTTTATAGACGTCATTGTAATACTGCTTCTTGTCTTTTCTAACAGTTCTCTGAAATTATTTCTTCTATTTTTCTTGACAATTTCCACCATCTATTCTTATATTCAGTTTGATTTCTTCTCTTTTCTTGATTTTTCAGAGTCTCTTTTCACATTCATCCTTAACAACTTCTTTGATTTCTTTCACAGATCCTCTGGTTCCCTACTAATGAGGTTCAGGACTTCCAAATGATTCCTTATGTTCACTTGAAAATGGTAGTTATATGCTTAAGATTGTATCATAGAAACTGGTTGGCTTTGTTCTGCTTTAGTTTCACTTGGAATTTGCATACAAGTTAATGATGTCTTCCACAGTCAGCCCCTGACCATGTCTTTGTTATAATAACTGAACTCATCCATCAATAATATAATCACTTTGATTTCACTGCACTCTCTGGTGATGTCCATGTATATAGCCATTGTTTTGTCTTTCATATACTGATGCCTAAGATGTCAATGTGTAGTTGATTCATTTTATCCTCCATTGTATTGAACTTTCTCATGTTCATGCATATTATTCCATATTCCTGCTATAAGTCTGTCTTTGCAGTTTTAGATTTTCTTTTCCTGTGTGGAAACATCATCAACTGACCTCCCCAAAATGTTATAAACACCATTAGTTCTCCAAATGATTCTCAGCTCTTCTTTAGTAGTATGTTGAGTGTTATTTGACTTGAGGACCCCATTATACAGAACCATGTTGCTAATCACTTTGTCTATTCATGCCATTTTCTTGGTAAAATAGAAATGGTTTATTACTGCCTTCTCCTGTGTATTATGAAATGATGCCTTTGCCCTTGTCACTAAAGTGATCATCATACCTACAAACTAACCAAGAATATTTTGACTTTCCAATTAGTGAATCCAATCCATTGTTTGTTTATGGTTCCACTTATCAAAGCCCCAAAACTGATTTAATTGAACAAATCATGGTTCAGCTAATAGTCTACAATGGGTAAATGTGTAGTGCAAATACACTAATGTGCACTTTGCTGTGGGAACAATAGAAAAAGTGAACAGTATAGAATTATTTAAATTGTGTATTAGAAAGATAGATTAGTAGAATGTAAGTAAAGAAAATGAGTCTATCCTGCCAGTGAAAACTCTAATAATCACTTTGGGGGTATAGTGGGAAGGAAGGAGCTGGGCTGCCAAGTTAACTTGTATTGGGTGCAAGATCCTTAGCTACAAACTTTAACTCCACCATAGAGGCAAAATATTTCCCCAGTACTTTTCTTGCTTGTTTTTCCTGGACAATCCCTAACAGATTACAATATTCAACTGGAGTTTTGGGACCAGTTTACCAGACCTCCTGAGACATCAGGGTCCCTAAGAATCCAGCTTAACTGCTCTTACCATGGATTCAGATAGTTTATCTCTCCATGGAACTGGAGAACTACCCCCCGCTTTTCTGGGCTGGGTTTTTTTCTGTCCACTTCCTTGAGGCTTTAGGGTACCAATCTGAAGCTCCTCCCTCTCCTTCTTGGCTGCCCTCTTTTCCATTGTATCTCTCTGGGATCTTCCTCCCTCACATCTCAAGAGAAAGCTAAAGGTAGGGCTGGGAGAAACTCCTTTGGGGCTTGTCCAAATAAGCTTCACTACAAAGATCCTTTCCTGAAGCTAGAATTCCACAATGACTGAACTTTGATTCTCTAACCAAAACAGAAGGGGTGTAGGTCATTCCCATTATCAGTCATGACTAACTTGGGAAGGAAAGGTGTTGAGCCCCGGCTGGAGAGGGATTTGTGTATTGGGTGTGTCTGAGAGTGTGTGAGGCTGGCCTTGCTTACATGTGGCAGACTTTGCTGTGAAAGTTTGCAAAACTTACCAAAGTGTATACTTTACTGCAACTGAACATGTACCTTTCTTCTACAGAGGGATTTCCTATTTTAATTTAATATCCAAATTTGCCTTTTTCATGTTGATGCTGGGAATCAGAGATGTGATGCTTATGTCATGTGCTTATCAAAGTACCCAGAAGTATAAGTATCTTGAATCTAATGGAAATATTCATGGAGAAACCTTAAAAATGGGGAAGAAAGTGATTAAACTAATATCATTAAGGTCTACTCCAAAAGAAGTGATGCTGCTCCCAGGTGTTACTCACAGCATACGGCGCATTTGCACTTTGCTTTGGAAAGATATAAACGTTTGGGAGAAAATGTTCTGCCCCAACTCGTTTCTTGCCCGCGCAGTTTAGTTTAATTTTCCCGTTAAGTTGAAAGAAGCGCTGAACGTAAACTGGAAACTCAG